TTAATTAATTAGATCATTCCTAAAGGCTTTTAGTTCGTGTCGCGTTATCTACAGATATGTCTACGCAATAAGGAAACCCTGTTATTGATAATTATTGTACACTTACAAAGAAAATAAAATGACAGGCATCATATGTTTTTTGTCAATTGCGCGTATGCTTTTGAGTGTAACTAACAAATTGTATCTGCACATTAACCAATAAACCTTTGCAAAAAGAAAATAGATTAAAAACATGTAAAAGAATAAGCATATGTATTATATTTGAATTTAAAGATATCTGCATATTGAAAACATTACTGCAAAATGATGGCAATGGCTGGACACAATAGAAGGGCAGTACCAAATGGCAATGACAATATATAGTACAAAAGCGGTTGGAATAGTACTAATGCCAGTGATAATTATATTCATCTGGCAACATCTGATGTCATGCTTTCTTTGTCCACAGGCAAACTGCGCAACAGAGACAAATATTATCAGTCTTTCTAGAAGCGAGCAAAGGTTGGCAACGTACTTCCCTTGCTTCGGTCCGTAAAATCTTTTTAATGGCAAAATAAAATATCGCCGGCATCAGAGGTTGACACCCATTTCATAACAGGGTTGTGCTCTCAGATTTTCAACCCCATTCTCACTAATTACTCACGTAAAATATATTTAATGCAACATTTTAAGCGTCACTCGAGGCATTGTCAAATCGTTCTTCGCCTCCATTACCCCTGCCAGCTTCCGGTTCAACGGAGTTCCTTCGAGCCGAAATGAGGGAAGTACGTTGCCAACCTTTGCTCGCTTCGCTCGCATATAGAAAGACTGGTCATTTTTCTCTCTGTTGCGCAACCCTATTTGCGCTACAGTGTGCCTGTGGTTTGTTCAGTATAGGCCCAGGCTGTCCTGCTGCTCCCCGCACAACCGGCCTTGAATGAGTGAGTGAGTTTAGTTTCACGATGCAGCTATATGGCGGCGGTCTGTAAATAATCGAGTCCGGACCAGACAATCCAGTGATCAGCAGCATCAGCATCGATCTGCGCAATTAGGAACCGATGACATGTGTCAACCAAGCCAGCGAGCCTGACCAGCCGACCCCGTTAGTCCCCTCTTACGACAAGCATGGTTTACTGAAGATCAAGATTCTAACCCGGACCTCGACGGGTCATCCGGTCTTGAAGTAATGTGAGGTGATGGAGGCATGCGTTTGTCCACTTCTTTGGTTTCAATACCTCCTCTATAAAGTTGTATTTCTAGCTGTACAGGTGATCAAAATAACAATAGATAGATTGCTATCAATAGATAGAAATTCATGTCTGACAACTTGCTGTTCTTAAACCAAATATTTTTACAAGTTATTCACGAACTTGTCATTGGGCAGTACTACCATGGCAACATCCCGGAGTCACGCATGTGCTATTTGCTAGCCGACAAGGACGTCAGTTTCACGATGACAACCTATTGGTACTCATGTCCCGGGATATCTTTGCCAACACACAAGGCGCTGCGCTGCAGGAAGGATTGGATAGAATGAATCAAATCGACATTAGACAGTGTTATTCATTGTGTGACAATGCTGCAAGTGTAAGACATTGTACCTGCCTGTTGATGTTCAGTTAGGGGCAGTGGTGTGCTATATTTAGAAGTTTGCTATATTTCCATATAATGTGGTACAACTCAGTAACAAATAGAACAGTATAGAAAGATCTGAAATCCGTGTCCTGGGTCTTTGAGGGAAATTTACTCTGGCCTCTCATCTCACATTACACCTCAAGTTATTAAAAGACAGCATTGTGTGTGATTTGGTGGGCTGTGTTTAGACGTGTGCTATATTCCCATAATGTGGTACAACTCAGTGACAAATAGAACAGTACAGAAAGATCTGGAATCCATGTCCTGGGTCTTTATGGAGACTTTACTCTTGCCACTCATCTCATATTACATCTCAAGTTATAAAAAGACAGCATTGTGTGTGATTTTGTGTGCTGTGTTTAGACGTGTGCTATATTCCCATAATGTGGTACAACTCAGTGACAAATAGAACAGTACAGAAAGATCTGGAATCCATGTCCTGGGTCTTTATGGAGACTTTACTCTTGCTTGCCTCTCATCTCACATTACACCTCAAGTTATAAAAAGACAGCATTGTGTGTGATGATCATTATTCCCTGGATACTCTGCCTAGTTGGAGACTACCGTCATTTTCTTTATTGTTGTTTTTGTATTATACAGCCTTTGAATTTTTATTGGCAGTCTGTCTTATACTGCTACTGTCATACCTTTGTAGTGATTTGAACTAATTGGTAAACGTAGTTAATTTTAGAGTGATTGAGTGAGTGAGTGAGTTAAAATTTACAGTAACATCGGCAATATTTCAGCCATATCGTGACTAAATTATAGATTTACAATGATTAAAGTAAATTATAAACATCTGTCAACGAAGGACAGTAAAATAACTAGATTATCACAGATATTAATTGAAAACTAGTAATCTATTCTACAATAAATTAACTATACAGGACGATACAATATAATAACAAGCTATATATCGCCAACAATTGAAGGGGGATCCCCATACAAGGGACCATGGGGACTTACAGTACCTTTGCTACCTGCATGGACCCAAGCTGGATTTACACCATCCCTTCAGCTGCTGGCGATTGTAGGAAGATTTAGGCTAAATTTATAATAAGAAAAATTCGATATTTAAAAATGTGGTAAATTTAAATTTTACTTAGAAGTTTTGGGACTTACGTATCCTCGCAGGAGGAAAATAATTTTACGACACTTTAACCCCCTTTGAGGATACAGCCACTAACAATCGCAGTTGCAGTTAATTTTAGAATACAGTTGTTTATTATATGACACTGTCTTGTTTGATGGTTTTACACGCGGTTCTTATACAAACTGATGGTAGCACAATATATCGTCAGTATCACTGACTCTTATCAACAACATATGACCCATGGTTAATCAGGGATTGGCAAAGACACTGAGACTTTATCGCCAGGACTGAAAGTTCTATCTTGAGTCTTCCTGTCGAAAAGTACTTCATCTTGTCTTGGGATTCTTTCAAGTCATCCCAAGCAACATCACAAGCTTTCAAAAGTCAGGGCCAAAACGATGAAAATGTTTTAAATGTCAACAAGCTGTATGGCCAAAGACGAGGTCGAACAGACTGAAACCTAAGAACTACTGAACTGACTGTCACAGCAAACAACAACAAATGAATGCCTCATCCCAATCGTTCTCAGTTTTTATCATATTGTTAAGAGTCTGATGGAACCTTTCTAGTGCTCCCTCAGGTTCAGGAAGCTATAACTTTACCTAACTGATAAATAGCCTGCTGGAACATACCTGACATCAAATTGAAGCCTTGATCTGATTGAATAGTCTTAGGCAAACGAAACATTGTGAAGAACTTCACCCAAGCCTTGATAATTACCAGAGCTGTATTTTCGGAATAGGAACAGCCTCTGGAAACCTCGTGCATGCACAAATGATGGTAAACATGTACTGCTTGTCTGATTTAGTCTCAGACAAGGGACCAACACAGTCAATAATGACCCTGCTGAAATATTCTTCAAAAGCTAGAATGAGTTTCAATGATGTGGCTGGTACTTTATGAAGTGGTTTGCCACCCATTTGACACATACGACACACAAAGTAGGTCAAGAGAAACCTTGTCACAAGGTTTGTTTACACCCAAATGGCCTGTCAAAGGAGTTTCATATGCCAAACTTAAAACATGTTTTCAATATGAATTTGGAAGAACAATCTGATGAAGAAAAACCCATTCATTATCAGCGGGTTCCTCTTGCGGCCTACATTTCCTCATGAAAACGATAATTGTATTTGTGTTCTTACCTACGCTGATGACATAATTCTCCTTGTTGAGAATGAACAGGATCTAAATGTGCTTCTTTATGGACTTAGTGAGTGGTGTGCTGTGAATAAGATGTCTGTCAACCCAAACAAGTCGAAGATTTTGCATTTCCGGAGCCATTCAGTAAACAGAACGGACTGTTTATTCCAGTGTAGTGACATGAACTTTAGTATCGCTAGATTCTACAAGCGATCGTGCGACCAGAATCCGAGGAGACTGTCCTTTAAAGTTTTTATGTGGGTCAATACACTGGCTCTTTTAAACAAGCGCAACTGGAATCACCGTGTTCACAGAAAATTACGAAGTTTGGATCTCGAGCATTTCACTCCGATCGGGAACATATTTCATATTCGCTTTTTAACTACATGTAATGAGGTTGGAGATAAGATCATGCAGAATTTTATACGGGAATGGATTATCTCAGTTAATCAAGAGAGTAAACGCAGATCAGGAAAGAACACGCTTCGTCTATATCGGGAGTTGAAAGTGTCATATGAAGTGGAACTATACATACCGAGTTCTCTACCTCGTTCTTACCGTCGTTCCCTTGCACTATTCCGCTGTGGAGTTGCCCCGCTTCGTGTTGAGACAGGTCGTTATATCAAACTACCCCTGGATGAGCGTGTTTGTTTTAATTGTCATAAATGTATTGAGGATGAATGCCATGTTTTATTCCACTGCCCTCTATATACAAATCTCACTGTTAGTCTTTTAACTAAATGTGCTGAAGTCTGTGATAGTTTTCAAGATTTACGTGATGGTGATAAGTTTTCTTTATTATGTCCAGTGATGAAGTACTCTTTTTAGCGGCCAAAACCTGCAAGCTCTTATTGGAAAAGCGTCAGAATATTTTATATCATAATGCTTAACTTTTATCTTTTTTATCATGTATTTATATAATTAGCATACCTATTTTTTTAAGAAAGGTGCATAATTTTTAAAATTGTGTACATTTATGTAATATGGTTTTATTTACAGTCTCTCTCCCTATATGGCTGGCTCGTTAATGTATGTTACTGTACTGTATATATGTACGAGGTGAGACTTTAATAAAATATCTGTCTGCCTGTGTAACCTCTTACGACAACCATGGGTTGTGAGTGCAATCCCATTCTTCCTGGGTACCATGGGTATGGAATACAGCGCGAGCGTGGACAGAGAAAATTTCAATCGAACCTAATCTAATGTGACATCTTCTTGTGTTCCTGCTCATGGAGGGAGACATGAGGCACAGTTGTGTTGTTGTGCGAGCTTCCAAGATTCGCCTCCCTTATGGTTCATGGAATGGTCGACTCTCACGCTCGTTTGGATCAGGTGATGCATGCTGGTGATACACTGTTAATAGATGCGCTACACGCTATACGATGTTCATCAACTGTATCCGATCAATCATTACGCAGCATTGCGTCCAGAATGGTATTCCACAAAGATTTAATTTAGTGCAAGACCTAACTGAAGATTTGAATAGTCAAAAGCAATACTTACGTAAATGCTCTTCGATCTGTTTCTCCCTTAAGCCTGGCGCACTAAATATTAATACACGTCTCCTGGGTCAAGATACCGTTCAATACAGCACTAGAAACATATTCTACGCGTGTATTCATAAGAAGTCTGCACACGGCAACAGCGCACAACAGTAGTGTCTCGGATAACAGATTTGTATTGTAAGAATGGAAACAGCGGCGAGAGTATGTGCTATTCTCATGATGCTCCCGAAGTCTGTGATTCCAGGTAATTTCCATGTATTAATATAACTACATGAGTCATTGGTATAGATTTTAGGAATTTTACTCATGGAAACGAATAAGGGAACACATGAAAGTACAAGTGTTCCTTTATTCTTTTCCAGGTTTCTTAACAAGGTATGTATTGCACTGTAAGTGAAATTCTGGAAATTATTAAAGAACATAGTGACTTTTCTGGGTTTCATCTTCTTTTTTATTGATGAAACCCAGAAAAATCTCTATGTTCATCAAATAGCATCTTCTAAAATGTCAATCAAACATCTAACTAAAGGAACACTTGTACTTTCACGTGATCCCTTATTCGTTTCTAGGAGTATATATTATTGTATGGGTCACACGAATCAAGGAGTGTCTATATTTCAAGAAACAGCACGACTTGATTTCGAAGTGGTATTCGGTATTATGAAACGATGTTATTTATGGTGAGCAAGTTTATCACATGTATGTCATTGAATGTTTCGCACATTTGTTTTGTTTTGTTATTCATATCACAACTGGGTTTTCCAGTCATACAGCAATCTGACCACATGGTGTTCTGTAAGTCACTACTTAGAGGGTATATATCTTCTATATTGTCGGGGGCGGTGGGTAGCCTAGTGGGTAAAGCGTTCGCTCGTCACGCCGAAGACCCCGGTTCGATTCTCCACACGGGTAGTGTGTGAAGCCCATTTCTGGTCTCTCCCGCCGTGATATTGCTGGAACATTGCTAAATGCGGCGTAAAATCAAAACTCACTCACTCTATATTGTCGTAATAGCGTCATTACAATACGGGTGCATATACGTCTAACATGAGTTTCGACACACTAAGACAATACCATGACACATCCTGATACATGACATGAACAAGGAGGGGAATATATAACTGAACCTCTTCATTTCTTCAACAACTTAACAAACACGAGCCAGTGCGGCCACCTGGCAACATCTTTCAAAATTCAAGTACAAAATACAAATTAAACGTCTTGATGGGTGAGAATTAGAAAACATGTAGTTCCCCGTTTAATCGAGTCATTTTATAGGAAATAGAATATACCTGTCAGCAGGCATGTTGTCTCTGCCTCGTCATCGATGGATGCAGTGAAACTGTAACTTCACTTACTTGTTCCCACGGTTGATGACACCCCAACGAGTGATCACTGCGTATCTGGTCTTACTTTTGTAATCCGTATTATTCAGTTTATTTAACATTTCTTTCACCATTTTACAATGGTTTCGGTGAAATGGTGCGTGAACATCAACCCCAATCAGATAACTTATGACTGAATACACAGATAATGAGAACCATACCCTGAGTCGTTAAACGTCACATTTGTTGTTGTCTGAATATGATATGTCAACATGTAGTTTTCCCGATCAAAATATAAGGTTCGCGGGAAGCGCGGAAATTATGAAAATAATGTGTTTTTTCTTTTTATCACAGATTTCATGCTTCTTAATTATCGTAGAACCCATATATATGCGATTGAAAAGTGGATTGGAATTCGCAGACTGAATCATATCAATCACATAGTGTTCTTGTACTGCACGGAAATATTTTACACAGGTTATATCGAACATGCAGTGATTGATATAATTCAGTGATAAGTATTGGAAAGGCATGTTGAACATCAGGCATTAATGGCGTGCTCGTCAGGGTAATATATAAATGAGTAATGAACTCCATAAACAATTGTCGCAATGTCGCACACGAGTTTGAGAGTCTTGGCGTCATTTCGAACACCAAACACGGTTTCGTTAAATTGTAAATAGTAAAATAAGTGTACAATGCATGGTGCGTTACATAATTTAGAATAAATCATCTCGTCGGCTATCGCTCCATCTTCTGGTCTCAGTGGATTGATGTTCTCAATTCTGGGTATATACTTATGAAATAACAATTTAAAACGACGCATTTTGGGATGACCCAATAGGCTGCATATACCAATTATGAATCGGTGAATTTCCGAAGGCTCCACGGCCAGGCCGTGAGCCTTCGTCATGAATTAAGTGTAACAATTTTAATTGTTTGTACATGCCCCGTAATCGCTGCTGGAGCCATTGTTAACTTTGGAGTTAGGATGAGTGTTCTATATTGTTTGAGGAGGATTGTCTGATCCACTGACACTTTGAAACATTGGGTTTGAAACATCCCTTAGTATATTCAGTGCCTTCAGTATTTATCTTTTACATAATTAATAAGTTGATCGAAAATAATACCAAATAATTTGGCTTCCTTTACAACTTTAATAGGTATGTCATCTAAAAGTAGTTTTGGATCTTCGTGTCGTTTATATTTTCTGTAAAAATGTATACAATTGATTTCTGTTTCCGAGAATTTAAATTCATTTTCCAAGCTCTATTTATGAATTTTATTCAAATATAATCGCAGTTTCCTTTCGATAGTAAGCATGTTTTAACTACTGCAAGGAACATTAAGATCATCCACACAGAGCTATCCGTCAACTGAATCGCATAAAACATTTGATAAACTATAACTCGTTATACTAAATGATTGTCAAAAAGATATTGACTTGTGGTGTCCCTGGGCCAGAGAGTAATTATCAGAAAATGTAAAACCCACACGGAGTTGAAATGTTTATATAATATACGGCACACGGCCTCGCAGGCTGAAATCGTGTAACTCTTTTAAAATCCGATATTTCCACGAAATCTCGTATGTTTTTCATAATTAAAACACCACAGTTACTTCATGTCATCTATTTATAATGACAAACATTGTTCTTCTGTTTTTACTGAAACCACATTGTATATCAGTAAATAGACTGTTTCTTACGGAGTACCAAACTTGATTGATCATGCGTTAAATAGTTTTGCAGCTAGTTAACGGTATTGGTCTATAATTTGATCATGAAGGTTCGGTATGATCAGGTCCAGGTGTAGGTATTGGGAAAAGTATTGCATCAAGCCATGAAGAGGGAGGTTTCCCCGACGTCCAAATGTCATAAATAATATTGAAATGTTCAAGTAACCTGTTCAAGAGAAGTATGGATCTTATGAATAGAACATGTTTCAATGTATTCTTCCCTGTTTGTCGGAATTAAATTTAATATATTTTTCTATGATTAATTGGGTTTTGTCTTGCTGTTGTTTGCTTTTGTGGTTTTGGAAATAAGTAACATAATCAGAAGACAAATGGGTGGCCAAATTTCCTCGACGTTCCACCTATCAATATCGGATTTATTAGTTCATAACTGATCTCCGTCCTTTAGATAGTGAATGGTAGATGTAGCAGAATTAATGTTCCATGTGAAGTATATCGATGTTCTCCATTAGCTGCTTCCAAATGGGACAGTCTTTTGATGAAGATGCATTTCATAATGTTATAATTTATGTTGTTATGGTTCGTGAACACGACTTACAGCGTCAAGACTGTGAAGCAATTTACTGTTTTATTTTACTGATTGTTTACAGCTACTTATCGTCCGGTTCCGGAAACCGAATTTCCGGATTATCGTGGCAAATTAAATAGGCATAGATTGGTAACAAGCTAAAATCGTCCGGAAGGCGAGACATCCGGATTATCGGAGTCCGGACTTACGGGGCTTCACTGTATTACTGTCACAATGTTCTGTGGTCTTCTCACCACAGTGAGCACATGTAACAGGCAATGAGCAAGTATACACATGTAACTGAATAAAGCACTCCCTAATATATATTTCATCATAATGATGCAGTTGTCGGTAATAAAGCTACGTCAAAGATGTCATTGTCTACTACGGACGTTCTGCCGATTAAACTAAGCCCGTTTGCTATTTCAAAAGCAATCTCTGTGATTTGTGGCGAGGTAAAGAGTGTAAGTCGACTCCATACTGGGTCATTTTGGTTATATCCGCCCCATGTTCATGGAGGCCAACGCTAGGCCACATCGTTCCCATGCCTGGTAACACAGAAAATAACAGTACTGCCTTACTGCCTTAACCTACCTAAAGTGTTTTTTGGACCATTTAGAGGTGAAAAGGAAAACTGATAGCTATTTGTTTTAGTGATGGCATCGTGTTTTGCGGGCTTTGAATCGTTTCACGTGAATGAGTGAGTGAGTTAAACTTTCAACTTTCAATATTAGGACAATTTGAATAAATAAAAACATTTGTAACATATCATTCGAGTCTAAAAACTAATCAATTTTAATTCTAAGATATTCTGGGGTGGTGGGGTAGCCCAGTGTTTAAAGTGTTAAAGTAAGGCCATCTTACTGGGGATCATCGGGACTTACAGTACTTTAGCTTCCTGTGTGAATCCCCAGCAGGCTTTAGCCATCACTCCTGTCAGTGGTATTTGTAAACAATGCTAGCCATAAATTATAACAGTGTCCAATTAGTCCATCACTAAAGCTCCGGTTGTCTGCAATATACTAATACTATTATGACGAACATTCAATTATCAGGGGACAATCTTTTCACATTTTTTTCGAGCCCTTCAATAGCATTGCCATAACAATATTAGTTTTCAGTTACGTAATCTTTCATCTCTGAGACAATTTCTGACATTTCAGCTAAAAGACGATCTTACGATTCCCTTGATAATGTTCAGCGTCACATGTGGATAGGCTGACACGATTCAGGAGTTACTTAGTGTGTTGTTTGTTGGCTTTTATTGCATTGAAATTAGGGATAAAACAGTGATAATTACTCTCTTTAATCCGACATTCTCGCATTCCGACTCCGACACACCAATCTAGCAGCTGATTATTGTAAATACAGTGTAAAAACATTCGTTAATCCGACAATCAACACAGCCGGTCGGATGATCCGACCGTATATCCGACCGTATACAAACAATCACACGTGAGTGATAATTAGCGTGTGCCTTACTGGCTGCTTGACAGCGGCATCAGTGAACATCAAACTTGTTAATTAGGAACACAGGATAATTAATTGAGACGATTTAATCAAGAAATAACAGTAGAGCGAGCTGTATAAAATGTTTACAACCGACATGAGTTTTCATCACAAGATGTTTGTCACGAGTACACCAGCTGCTAAGCG